GAATATATGGTTCGTGGTGAGAAGAGGAATATCTTTGAAGTTATTAAATCAATTGCTACTTCTCAAGGGTTGAGAGGTTTTTGGAAGGGGAACCTTCTTAATATTCTGCGAACGGCTCCGTTCAAAGCTGTTAATTTTAGTGCGTATGATACTTATCGAAAACAACTACTTAGATTCTCTGGAAATGAAGAAACTACCAATTTTGAGAGGTTTATTGCTGGTGCTGCTGCTGGGGTCACTGCTACTATCATTTGCCTGCCACTTGACACTGTATGTGGTGGTAATTTGAATCATGATTTATTAGTTTATTTTTTTACTGCCCAATTGAATAAACTTGAATCTCTTGGCATAAATTTGCATTTCAATAGTAAAGCAGTCGCACACTGGCATACAAACATGACAATTGGTCTTGGTGTGAAACTGTGAAAAAGTGAAAAATCAACTGAACATATTTAGTTCTTGTATCCAATTATGTTCTTCTGTTGTGCATAAAATGATAAATAAAAAGAAGAGTTTAATAGGCATAAGATGTTTCATATATGGACATTGGACACAATAGTGGGTCTGTATGATTATGGGTCCATACTTAGGAAATGCCAGGGTCATGTTAGAAGCTGAAACGAGCATATCCAAATATGTTTCATATCCCTTTCGAAGTAATTCCATAATGGTATGTGTTCTAAAGTCTGATTTGTAAGAAAATTGCAGTAACAAGCAGTCATTTGGTTCCTTCGACCAGTGGGAGAACCTGAATCATATATATAAAAAGTTAGTTTTTGATGCTAATTAAAGCAAGTGCATGCATTCAGCTATTTGCATTACAATCACTTTAAAAATTTATTTTGTGCGCCTTACAGATTCGGACCAAGATAGTGGCACCTGGCGGAGAAACTTTGGGTGGTGTAATTGGTGCTTTCCAACACATGATTCGAACTGAAGGCATCTTTTCTCTATACAAGGGTTTAGTACCATCACTTATAAGCATGGCTCCTTCTAGTGCTGTTTTTTATGGTGTATATGATATGCTAAAATCATCATATCTGCATTCACCCGAAGGACTGCAAAGAATCCAGAATTTGCATAAACAGGGTCAGGAACTGAGTGCCTTTGATCAGCTTGAGCTGGGGCCAGTAAGGACATTGTTGTATGGGGCTATTGCCGGTGCATGTGCAGAAGCTGCTACATACCCATTCGAAGTTGTGAGAAGGCAGCTTCAATTGCAAGTCCAGTCGACTAAATTAAGTTCTTTAGCAACTTTTGTCAAAATAGTGGAACACGGAGGCGTTTCAGCCCTCTATGCTGGACTTGTTCCCAGCTTATTACAGGTATTAAATTCTTAATTTCTTGTCATGCTCTAGTTACTTGTATTTTAATGGACTTATATTCATCAGTTTTGAATACCTATTTTCTGAGAACTTAAAACTATTATTTAGTAGTTCCCAATCTGTTTATATTGATTATTCCTCGCTAATATTATAACTACTTAAAGTTTATAATGTAGATAACGTAGATTAAGGTTCATGTAGGGTGTTTCGTTTTTACAATCTGAATTCCATTTACATTTTACCATGGTGATCACAGGCTGCTGCTCTATATAGTCCTCTAATCTCCTTAACACAAAAATGCCTTGTTTATGAAATGTCTTGATTATTGCTATAAGATTATTTTCCCCATAAAATTTCATAATATCAATTATTTATGCCAGAGAAAAAAACCTTTTTTATCATGGAAATGTATTTACTATATATATAGTACGGACCATGAAAACAATTCTATGCAGCTTTATGGTTGTCTTCCACTGGTCTGACTTTAGATCCTAAATAGAAGTATGTTCCCATTTAGGCAAAATTGCTCTCATGGTCAAGATAGTTAGAGTCGAGATCCTATGCAAGATTACGAAGGGGTCGCAAGTTCGTAAATCACGTAATTGTATCATATGGATCATCGTAAGATACTACCCATTTCACAAAGCCACATATATATGTATATAAAAACAACAATCAAGTAAAACAATGAATCATGTATATGTATATAAAACAACATCCTAGTAAAAAAACTTCAAATCACATCCATAATATTTAATGAAACTCAAATTTAGGATCATAAGATTCATCACATAGTGTCATACAAAATTCATAAATGCCACAAACAACTAACACCATGGACAAAAAATGTCAAAGGGAAAGGGTCAGAATCAGAGCAGTGCAGAAAATCCGAGGGAAAGGGTCAGCACATGCACCAGACCAGAAAGTTACTTCCTCGTATGAGTCTATAAGATGGATAGTGTCGCACATGCATGATCAGAAGGCAGCATGCAGCAGCAGTAATTTTCACCCCTACACAAGTTTTCCAGTTTGTAAAAGTGGTTCGGTGAGTATAACTCACCGGAACACTTTATTGCAACTGATCCGGTAAATAAATTTCTTCATTTATTACATTTTTTTTTCTTTTTTAAATTTTTTATGAGGGGAAGTACGGTATGTGGATGATTTCATAAACTAAGAGGCTTAGTGACTTACTAACCGCGGCACCCTTTCATTTGATTAAAACAGGATTTTTTTTAGGTTATTGAATGCTAATCTTTGTTTTAAAAACCGGGTCACTGGCCCAACCCATGAGCCACTGCTGTGCTTAGAAGCAAAAAGAATCGCCCAGCTTGCTTGCACAATTCCACTGGCTCTATGGCTCTGCACATCGATCCCAGCCGCTCCCATCAATTAACGATTCTACATGCATTGTTGCAGAATAGCAGGATTCTATGCGCTGACTCGCAATTTAATTTACATTCTCATGGTCTTTTAAGTTATTTAGTTGTACCACCTTAGTCCTTTATATTGTTTTCCTAACTAGGTCCTTTAACTCTCAACATGCACATCGTTCACATTTTTTGAGTTTGTGATCAACTCCGTAAAAAAATGCCTGCGTAGTTATTGTTATGTTGTCTAAGTGGCAGTGCTTATGTGGCTACTAAGTTATAATTTTGACATTTTTTATTTCTAAAATAGAAAAAATGCTTGGTTGTTCACCTGGAAAGAAACCCAGTTTTGTAATAGGAAAGCCCTCCGTCATCTTCATCCATTGTCACCGTCACACTCACCTCTAACCTTGAAATCAAAATCACTTCATTATTTGCCTGTACACCCTCAAGCAAAAAGGTCAGCATCATAACAGCCTCATGGAGATGTTTTTATTGGATTTAGACAGAAACTCAAAAATGGTCAACTGTGTGCTTGTTATGAGAGTTAAGGACCTTCTTGATAAAAAAAAAACATAAAAGACTCATGTGGTAAACTTAAACAACTTAAAGGAGCACATGATTAATTTGGCCTTTTATTCGTTTTATTTATTTCTGATTTCATACTGCTTATGATTGCTTACTTAACCATAAAAGTTTAACAAATTATTTTTTATTTCCCATTCTTAGGTACTTCCTTCGGCATCAATTAGTTACTTTGTGTATGAGTTCATGAAGATTGTTCTCAAAGTAGAGTGAGTAGGCAATGAACAGATGAGATCTTCAGTTTTATACGGATAAGAAGCAGTAACCTGATTTATAAGTGAGCGTCTGATATTGTTGTGGAATGGTAATTTTCAACTTCAATGGGCTACATTTGATGTTTGCTTCTCATGGTTAAAGTAAAACCATAATGGTCTACCATTCCATCCTACTGCCAGCGCCATCACGATATGGACATCACACATATTACCGTTTTTGGACTGGCGTTACAGTTGATTAAAGCATCAAGTCTGCAAAAAAAGAAAAAATAGTAGCAATTGCCGCATCCTGAATCTTATGCTTGTTCTGTCCAGACATTTTTGTTAACATTTTTTTTTTCTTCTGGCAGTTGACTTGATTAATAACATGGTCGGTCCAAGCAAGCAGGTCTCTTCGCTTTAGATTGTAACTCTTAAAGTAGCTTTATCTATTATTCTTGGATATTTTTTGCACCTAACAGGATATTCTACTCGTGAATGCACATAATCCGCAATACGTCACAACTAAGGAAGTTTGAAAGAGCTTATGCGGTGGTTTGTTTTCACTTTTCAGTTTGCTGTCTGTCATCAAAATAACTAGTTATACATGGGAGAGGGAAGTGTTTAAGAGTTACATACAATCATACTTTCTTGATTGTGATTGATTTGCGCAACCCTCGATCCATGTGATGTGAATCGGTCCATTTAAAAAAATGAATGTCAGGTTGTTGAAATCTTAACAAGCAAAAGATTAACAAATGCAGTTGTTTCTATTATGGAAAAGGGGGCATTTCAAAAATGAATTTTGATTATTGAAAAAGGAAGTTAATGATAAGGAATCTATTGTAAGATCATGATTGATAGACTCCCGTGTAATCCATCATTTGTATGTGAGAGTTGCGTATAAGATAAAAAGATTATCTTTAACACGGTCATGAAGAAGAACATGATACTGTTTTTAGGTTTGTAATCTAAAACAATGGTGTGAATTAATGTATGTATGCTATCTACATTTCCTTATAAATAAAAAAGTTAAAAGTTCTTGGGATAGATTATATGAATCAATTCGTGACATCATTCATGAAATGTTGCATCTTTTGAAGGGTTGTTATTTTTTTCCCACAAAAAGGCAAGCACCAAAAACATGAATGATTTTTAAAAGCAACCACTCTACGTGCAAATTTGATTATGAAATTCCTCTTGTTTATAGACTTATATCCAATTCTTGTATACGTTTATACACATAGTTAAGTAACCTATTACTCTGTACTATAATAAGTACTATAATAACAATTCCGAGTGGAAAAACATATAATTAAGAGTGCGCAAATCAAAATTCATCAATCATTAGCCTGGTACACAAATGAAAAATGGGATGATCTCATTTTTTCTCTATCCCTTTAATTTTTCTGCTGAAAATTGAAGTACCTAGTCAACAATTACTCTAGCAGTTTATGCATTACTCCAAGTTAAACAAATTGAGATTATAAAGAAAAGCTATTACTACCACAAAACTCGTTTCACAATTAGCCACATACATACTCCCACCATTTGTAAATAGCATATCCATAAATTAAGCTATAAGTAATCACCCTCAGAGGAGACTTAGTAAACCTGTATCAGAGAGAAGGAAGATTCAATTAACATTCATCCATGCAAACTATCAATCTCACCGTCAATTCAAACATGCATTTACAGACTAACAGATTCATCAAAATCTAGTTAAAGAGTAGAAGTGAATTAAAGAGAGAGGCACCTTGAAAATCCAGATCCATGAGAAAAAGCAGCTTCTGTTCTTTCCTCAACAGTAACAGGATAAGGCCAACGTGAAATATCACGGTTAAAATAATCCCAATCAGGTAAAACAAGACAAGAAATTCCAACAAGACCCAACACATAGGTAACCATCATCTTCTTGAATGAGTGCGTGCAAATACCAACTGCCAGTATAACTACTGCTAGCCAAAGTAGACAGGCTCTTAGAGCTGCATCGTTTACCATGGTTGTGATGAGTTTGGTGAATGTCACAAACCAGTTTCAGAGACTCTGGGATTAGATTCAATTAAATTTCTTGATGTTGTTACTTTTGTTATTATGTTGTATTGTGATGTTGATGAAAAAAATGAATGAAGGGCCATACAAATGCCATTACGACAGTGGTGAGGAGTGAGGCATAGTTAAGAAAGACGCACGAGCTTTAAATGCTAACTCAACTGTCCCTTCTATAAACTTTAAATGTTTTAATTTAATGTCATGCTACCTCATAGTTGTCAACTTAGACTCGGGTTGGGGAGTGTTGTTTCCTTATTTGCTCTCACCTTCTTCTATGATAGCTATGATGTGCATTAAAAGAAAATTTTATTCATACAAAACTCAAATGATTGTTATATACTTCAATGTACATTAATGAAAGATGGTTATGAAAGTTATGTTGCACTAATGATGTTAGGTTTAATAGGGATATAATTGTATCAGGGTTAAAAACTTTGAGAAATAAGGTGTGGGGAAGTCTCACAATGATTATAAAAGTAGAGACTTGAGTATTTATAAGTGAGAGAATCCACATATTTTTTTTTTTTAAGATTTTGGATTAGTATGTGGTGTGTCTCTCACTAAGTGTGTTGCTCATAAAAGAAGACCTCAATGTAAAAATGCTCCCTCTTGTTGAACCCTTGAATTGAAATTCTAACAGTAGTATCAGAAGTCTTTGGTTCGAGTAAGGAACCGACTTCCTTGTATCAAAAGTATTCTCCACGGGTGGTGGATAGGAGGTATCCCATTGAAGAGCGTCAACGGCGGTACAATTGTTTGTGGATAAAAGAGCTTTCGCTTGAGGGAGAACATTAATGTTTTGAGTGAGTATGTGATGTGTCTCTCACAAGGTTTGTTGCGCATAAAGGAAGACCCCAATGTAAAAATGCTCCCTTATGTTGAACCCCCGAATTGAAACTCCAATAATACGTAATGGATACCCGTAAAAATGACTAACAACGGGTATGATAAAAATCCGCAAAAATGAATATGGACACAAACATGGGTAAATTATCTATTAAAATAAATAGGAATGAGTGTGGCGAGTACGTGTACCTTAGTACCCACCCTGCTCACACTTGCACAATGTAAATTTATATATTTTAATTAATATCGTTATCATATAACAAATGTATGTTTATATCTTTAAAAAATGCATCACAATTAAACTATTACACATTTTAATATAAGTATTCCTTTATTTTACAATTCAATAGTAAAATCTTTGAATTTTTTTGTTAATTTTGTTAAAGAGTTAAAATGATATGATATTTTTTAATTGATAGATTTATTTTTACTAGAACTATGGGTAAAAAATACAGGTAAGGGTGCTTAGGTACCCATAAGGTACGGGTACGAGTATAAAGGTTGGTGTCCACGTGGGTATGTGTATTGGTACAAAGATTTTTTTCAAAGTGCGGGTATGAGGACAAGTATTATAGTATCCTACCTATTGAAATCCTTACTTATCACATGTATTCAAGGAAGAAATGTGGGATATCCTTCAAGTTACCTACCTGTTTACCGATATTTTTAATAAACAATCACGAGTTTTGTTCACTTAAGAGATTAAAATTGAAAAAATATCAAGGACAACTTATGCAGAAAAAGTACAATGAAAAATGTTTGTGATTGAAACTTAAATGTTAGAATGTTGACAAATTAAACATAAACTTTAAACGAAAAAGTGCAGAATTAGTTTGAGAAAAAGAAATAGACCAAAAGCATAATAAATTTTATAAAAATAAATGCTTCAATTGAAAAGACTTAAATAATTTAAAGAGTTCATGCAAAATCATACATGATCTCACAACATGTTTCTGTCTGTGACTTAGATATTTTAGTTCTATAGACAATATATGAAATTTGTGACCCTAATCACAACAATGAGATTAACTTATATACTAATACAATGTTAACCGTTGACAACGGTTATCTCCACAAAACTTGACACATATCCCTTTACATAGACTTTAGTCTCTAGTTCTATTCCTACCAATATGTACTTATGAACCTAGGATGATGTAGGTCGGATTTCACCAATCAAATCTAATGTCCAAGGCTTAAAAATTGAATATAATTCACTTGCAGGGAAATGTTGAATACATGCATGTTTTTGACAATCCTAGCACCCTTTTGCAAATTCTATGCAATCTTTCAACAAGTTGGCTAATATTCACTTTGTCGAAGAAAAAAATTATTTCATCTTATGACCTCCTTGATGGCCCCATATGATCCACTATGGACATTGAAAATTTTCAAATATGATTCAATTTCACTAAGCCATTTAAGTAGAACTCCCTTATGAGTCTTTTTAAACAAGTCATTACCAATAATAACACTTGAATCAATTTTTGCCAAGTCATTAATGAATCTTATGATCTTTTTGATGGGCGCCATGTTTTATGTCGACTGAATCAAATCTTTTCAACAATGAATCAGCTAGAACGAAGTACATCAATAGACTCTCTTTGATGAATTTATATTCTTTTGTCAATTGCTTCACAACTGACTCTAAGTCACCTTTAATTTCAACTCCTTTGCCCCCCCAAGCCTAACAAGATCCTAAGACCTGCAATTAAGGCATCATATTCAACCTCGTTATTAGAGCAACAACCTTGGATATTAAATTTGAACTTCGTTAGAATCCCTTTTGGGGGGGGGGGATAATCAGAATTCCAATACCAGTTTCATTCTTGTGTCTGGAGCCGTCGAAGTAAAGGCACATAAGTTAGAGAATATTCAGTTAGAGCCAGAGCCTATTTTTCAATTTGACTATGTAAAATAGGTTTTGACAACATATGTTTAATAACGTTGAAGTGAGAATAGACGAAAACATTTGTAGGATTTATATAATATTTTAGTTTGGTACGAGAGAAATATAAGCATGGACACAATTTCTCTATTGGACTATATCTAATTTTTGCATCATTTAAAACTCGACTAAGGTAATAAATTACCCTTTTACACCATCATTATCCTCTTATGCTAACATACTGCCTATTGTTGAATCGGATGGAGAAATATACAACTTCATAAGTTTATTCCTCTCAGGATGTAACAATATTGGAGGATTCAACATATACTTCTTAATCTCCTCAAAGGATTTTTGATGCTTTAGTTCCCATCTAAATCCTTCTCATTTCTTTAATCGTAGTAAAGGCATAATTTTTTTTGTCTTTCCACTTAGATTCGAAATGAACATCCTTAAGAAATTTATCTTTTCCAACAAGGATTAGAGTTACTTCTTATTTAATGGATTCAAAGGATTGTAGAAGGTGGTCTAAGTGACAACTTTTTTGTTGAGGACTTAATGACTATATCATCAATGTATACCTGCATAAAGGTCTCGATAAAATCATGAAACATGTGACTCCCACTTCTACTTCTAGAGAAGGGAAACCTAACATAGCTCTAGACAATTAGTTGACATATGATAAAGTAAGGAAATATATTTGTACCACCTCAATTTTTTCACATACCTATAAATATACATTCACCTTACAAACTATAAGACATTAATTTAGAGTATGTGTGTGTACGCACATACATGTGTGTGCGTGTGTGCGCGCATATGCGTGTGTGTATGTAAGGGCACACACACTTATACTTAGGAAATAATCATGTATTTCTAAAGTTCATCTCCAAATCTCAAACCTCTACTACTACAAAAAAAACCCATCTCACATCGGTTGGAAAATGAGTTTTACCTCAGTAATTATTCCACTAATGGTTAAGTTGTAATGTTCATTTGTTCAATCCCCAACAATTTTTTTGTCTTTTCAAAACTATAAAGCACATGCCATGTGTCTCTCGGTTTCTTCTAATATTCGAGGGATAAAGAAAGTATTTACGTCTGCTTGAAATAAAAATTGAGTGGTAAAACCTATTTTTTTTCTAAATCTCAATATGATTGGCCTGTAATTGTTTTACACAGAATCAAAATCAGAGCATAAAATTTTGTGACACAATTAGAAAATTTTATTTTATAACAAGACATAACTAAATATACACACACTATTTACAAAACGAAATGTGCACATCTAAAATGGTACACCAAGATAACCTATACGTATTTGAAAACAGAATACAAAAGCAAATACATGTGTAACAGAAAATCTATACTTAATGTTATCAACAACCAAGAAAAACTAGTGTTGTTGAGATTCATAAAGAGATATAAAGAAATTAACCCAAGGTGATCAGATGTCATCTACATCTTCTTGTGAGAATGGTGTTTGGTTGCTAAACACCTATAATTTGTTTAAAATTTAAATTATAATAAGCTAATGACAAAAAAGTTAACTTAACAAATATATAAATAAATTACATGTATATGAATAAAGTTAATACCTTATCCCATGAACTACTAATGTCTTGGGTGACAATATCAAACATATATTTCATAACATAGTATCCATACAAATGGCGGTCGGGTCGTCTTTGCATCTACAAATATTTTTCGTATAGTTACAAATACACATAAAGTACAAGTAATACCTTAGCAAAATAAAAGAATGTCAACAAGTAAAAGTAATACTTACTTTTGGGGAAAAGAACCTTGACTTTTTACCTCTTATTTTATGATTCACAAAATTATATCCCTCCAAGACCACATACACTCCCACCATGCTCCTTTGTTCCAATCGCTTCTACCAAGGTGTCATTACGCTCTCGTGGAACAAAGATAACATATTTGAATTTTTTCACCAATAAATCCTACAACATGTAAAAGTTCATCTTTACAGAATACAATTAACTTAAATAAGTAATGTTGAAAAAGGTATCTACTTACAATCTTTTCAGCAACTTCACGTGTAACCTATGATGTGAACTTTCCCCCTTTTATTCAAATCGACTCTAAAAATATCAAATACCTCATACTCAACTCTAAGAATGTCAAATACTCCAAACTCAACTCTAAACATTTCAGGCTCAACTATGAAAACATCAATTACCTCAAACTCAAC